ATTAAATTTTACAATGAAATGAAATAAAAATAATTTTAGAAGATTTACTGAAACAAAATTTTTAATTCTTATTTTTTAATCTTTATGAACATATTTCTTTTATAATTAAAATTTAATTTAAAGCTTAATTTTACAATTATTTCTTCTTCATTGCTGTTTCTCTTTCTTCTTTTCCTTTTTCTTTTATTATCGGTAATGATATCTTGATTAAAATGGTAATAATGAATTATGTAGAATTTTAGCAGCAAGTGTGGCAACTTTCCTTGCAACTTTTCATTGATACGTTCCAAGCTAAATTTTTATAAATTGACTTAATATTATGCATATTATATTCATTCAAATAAAAAATTAAATATCTTGAAAGAACTAAGCTTTGTATATTTTGGTATATTATTATGCTGATAAAATAATTAAAAAATCATATATTATACTTAAAAAATACTTAGAAAAATTACTATATATGTAGAGAGAGAGTTATAATTATCACAATGCAAATAGCAATTAATTATATCTGATTCACAGCTTCAACACCAGATATACATACATCAAATGAATCAAATGAATATATCATATCATTTTTAAAATGAATTATATATATATATATATTTCAATGAAAAATATATATATATATGTATACATATTGAATTAAATAGTTAGCTCTAATAACATTTTTTATAAAAAAATCTAAAGTTTTTAGATGATAAATTATTTCATATGTAAAGTAATCTCGAGTTTGTCTTAATAAGATCGTAATTTTTTATAAATTTCTTGTTAAGAAATGTCTATTCTATATATTAATAAAAATCGAGATTGCTAATAGTTCCCATGTATAGAGTTCTTCACACAGAAGATATATTGTACCTTATATAGCAAATTGTATTTAATTATAAGTTTTTAAATGCCTTAAACATACAGCAGAAAGAACCAAAAATTTTGTATATAGTAGATTAAGAAAAATTTTCTATGTTGTATATTCTCCAACAAAGAAATTATTAAAAAAACATCTATTTTCGTCATAAGTTCATCTTTAGTTTCATTATCTTAAGGTACAATATGGCCGGAAATCGCAATAATTTATTTTTCATCAAATAATTATAATAATCATTAAACAATAATCTTGTAAATAATGTAAATATTAAAAATTTATTAATACTAAAATTAAATTTTTTAGAAGTTTAAATTAAAGAAAAAATTCTTTTGAAACTTTTGATAAAATTTCTATTTGTTTTTTTCTATGTAAATATATATTTATGCGAAAATAAAATTTACAAATAGAATCTACAAACTAATTAATATCTTAAAGAAAATTTTCAGTTTAAGTTTCAAATAGAGTTTTCGTTTTTTTTTTAAATTTAAGATTTTTTCATTCTAAATGTTGAATTACATTAATTTTTGTATGAAAATATAAGTGATGGTATGAAATTATTTTTATATAATTCTTGATAATTTTTTTCGAGAATTGCAACCTTTGATGACAATGTTTCCTAATAATAAGGTAGCATTTGAATTTTCATTCCTTGAAACGATGCTAAAATGCATTTTTTAAGTAACTTATCAGAGTGTATTTGCACAATTAATGTACAGTATTTTTATATATTAATTGCGAACAATGCAATAAAATTGAATACTGAATATAAATCTTTCACATTTTTTATGCACCTCAAAATTTTCCAAACCTATTGTTTTTAATTTATTTAATTTATTTAATTAATTAATAAATAAAGATTTTACAACAATTAAAAAAGATTTTAATTTTTCAGTTTTTAAGAGTTTTAAATATTTCATTCAGAAATATTTATTCAATTAAAAAATATCTAAATCTGCAATAAAATATATGAAAATGACAAAAATAAAATTTGTCATTTTTGCTGCGCCTACTAAAGTTCCATCAACACCGGAAATTCTATTGCGGAAGCGGATGACGTTTAATGCATAAAGGATCGTCGCATAATGCCTAGTTGATGTTACAAGAGTACTCGTAACGAATTCAGGCGCGAAACATATGGATATTCCCAGATCGTAAATTCGAAGAAGCATCTTAGAAAGACGAGGAACGAAACAGTGTTGGAGGAGAACTGATAAATAATTTACCAAATGCCAGCCGATGGCAGGCTTAATGGATTAGACGAGTCAGTGCAAATATTATTGCAAGGAAACGGCAGTTAGCAACGCCCAGTTTGTTCGATTGGTCAAAAATGATGTCAACCGGTTGTCTTTTGGCCAATCAACGTACACCGGATGTTCGTTGGATCTTTTCAATATATTTTCTCCACTATTTGTCTTCTATGTCGTAAGGATATTGTGATTTTTTCTAATGAAATCTTCAATATTACTTCATTTCAATCCCTATAATGTATATACAATTTAGAAAATTAAATAATTTTTCAATAAAATTTAAATTATAAAAAGAATTTATTTTCTTATTATTTCCTTAACCAAGAAAGCAGAAAAGGAAATTCTGGTTTACGCAAATGATTAATATTATTAACATTATTATTAATATTATTTAATCACAAATTACCAATAATGAATAAAAGGATTTTTTCGGAAAAAGAAAAAGTAGATATTTACTATATATCTCCAATTCTTATCTTTTCTTTTTCTGAGACTGAAAGCAGTCATCATTGAATTAGTGATCATAAAGTAACCAACCGGTAGCTGGAAGAACTGTCACATTCTCTCATGGTGATCCCAGAAATCTGAGAAACCACCTAACCTAAACATAGCGACCCACCACGCTTCACTGGTTTATTTACGAACGCGAGAACTCGATGGAAATCCTGCCATCAGCCCTATGCGTGACTGTTTTATTATTTCGTCTCCTTCTTTTTTTCTTCTTTCGTAGATATGAGATAAATTTTTAATCGGATATTTTATTAATATTATATATTCTTTAATCTCAATCTCTTTAATTCCATGTTTTCTTTACAATTACTCAAATCAGAATTTCAATAGATTTTCTATGAGAATATTTTAAAACTTATTTTAATTGATTAACATCTTATCACAAAATCAACATGAAAAAGAAAAAAGAAAGAATAAATATTAATAATATTTTCTTTGTTTTATTATCATTTGCAATTTCTGTCATTCTATTTTTTTTAGAATAATTAATTGTGCGTTGTTAATACCAATTGTAATCATCATCTTCTTTATAGTTTCCTTCAATATCATGTGTAATATACTATATATCAGATTGATTTAATAATAATATGCTGTCTTACATAGTCAGTTTGTTTTGTAATGGCTTACATCATTTGAAATATAAATAAAAGTTTATACTTACAATGACAAAAAAATATCCTGCTGATTATATTTCAACTGCAATTATTTTTATTATCCTTCAAATCACATTAAAAAAAATCTTAGCAATTTTCTTGTCATAAGCAATTAAAATTCTATTTAATATCAATAATAGTTTTGAAAATTTATATACTTGAATTCCAGTAACTTCTATAACCTATAAAACATTATATGTATTTATTACTTAATTTTTTAAATTATATACATATGCTTCACAATTAAAAAAACCTGAAGATCACAAGATTACAAGATCCATTGTTTAAAATATTTATAATATTCCCTTGGTACAAGAATCATTTTAAGTTCAATTGAAGCATCATTTTAAGAAATGATCTCAATTGAAAATCAAAGATGGAGTGAATTAATAAGAAATGCTAAGCAGAAACATTCACATAATTTGATTATCCATCCAATTTTTAGTTTTCATTTACAGGAACAATTTCCATGAAGAATATAAATATCAATGGCAACTAATTAAATCGCATAATTAATTCATTTTTGCATTAATTATTTTCAAAATAGTTTTTTTGATGAGTAATAAGATACGAAGAATTCATTAATTCACGATCTCCTAAATCATGTCAGTTTTATTATTTATTATTATTTATTCATTAATTTTTGGCAATAATGAAGTATTTTTAACTATGTATTTTTTATTAGTCCTTCATAAACAAACTTTTTTGTTTATTTTGTTCTAATAATAATTTATATAATTCAGATAAAATATTATGTTTGAATTTCTTTCTTTTAAATTTTTTATTTGTATTTTTATTAAAATTTTATGAAAAATATTTTTATTTTTTTATATTTTTATCTATTATTTACTATAAGTAAAATTTTACTAAGTAAAATTTTAAATATTTGATTGTATAACTGCAAATATTTATATACTTATATATTAAAATATAATTGTAAATATACAAATCTAATATCTATCATAAAATTTTATGATAAAATAATATGAGATATATCGAAGAATATAGACATGTGTATTTTCATTTCATAAGATTTCACGATCAAGTGTTATTTATTTTAGTTATTTTTTTCAGATGCTTTTAAGACAAGATCGAAAAAGGAGAGGTTAGAATTGTGAAAGCCAGAAAAAAAACCTGATTTCCTTATTTTATGATCAAATAAAATTGAAATTTATATATAAAAAGTTTTTGAAAATTGCAGAATTATTTGAACATTAAAATTCATAAAATAAACTACGAAAATATTATGGAAGATTAATTGAAAATCTAAATAAATAAGCTTGTTAGAAAACTTAAATTCTATTTAAATTATATTTAAATTAATCTAAACAAGATTAAAAATTTGAAATCAATTTTGAATCCTTTAAAAATATTTATTTAATAATTCAAATTTATTCAATTTGAATTATTTTGCATCAATCATGATATTCTCCAATATTTTTTATATTCTATTTAATGTTCTTAAACGGTTCTAATAGCAAGAATTAAACAGAGTTGGTAAGAAAGTTAAAGATGGCTTCACAGGATATATCCTTCCTCCCGAGCGCACTCAAACAAAGAGCCATTGAAAGAAAATTCTAACTGTTTATCGTTTCAATAAACCGCGACTGCTTCCGTTTCCTTTCTTCCTTTCTGATCGAACTATTAAATGATACTTTAAACAATTCTCGAAAATACTGTATGCGATATGTTTCGATCGCATTTCGATTAAATATATCAGATGAATCGATCTTTCAAACTATCGATTGATATTGTAAATGAAAATATGAAATGGAATTAAAACAATAATAAAAGATGTAGGAATGAAAGAAACAAAATGTTTTTTAAAAATTAAAAAATCAAAAATAGAAAATAATTTTTTCAAATAATATTGTACTTCTCTTCAATATTATGACTATCAAATTAAACAAATCAAATTACATTAGCATCTATATAATATACTTGACATATATAAAAAATTTAATAATTATTTTATTTATTTCTATTTATATATATTCATATATTTATATAAAAAGGAAAAAGATAATACATAAAACCATAAATTGCATGATAAAATATAGAGAGATTTTAGAAAATTGTTTTCCCATAATGACATCTATATCTGTTGATTTAAATTGCGATTTTTCGTCCATACAGAATAACCATTACAGAATAACCATATTTCGTGCATTTTATAATTTATTTACATATTTAACTAAATTAAAAATAATAATTTTTTATGTATATGAATAAATATAAAATGTATGTGTGAATTTTATATAAAAATAATAAAATACACAACGAATGTTGATAAATGAAGATAAAACTTATTTCAAATTTTTACCAATTTTTATCATATTTAAGAAAAAACAATTTACTCTTCTATTTATAATTAAATGCAATAATAATATTTAAAATGGCTATTTTTTTGTCAAAATAATCCAATATTACAAAAAATATTATTTTAAACATAATAGTTCATTTCAAATAAGTCTTAATTCGAGATGGCGCTGTTATACAATCGAAAAGTGCGCATTTTAACTTTCTATTTTTTTTTTTTTTTATAGACAATTTCGCAAACATGATTTTCTTTTTCATTTTTAATATAATTTTTTACTCATATTACATTAAACACAACAGTAATTAAATCTATCGAAAATATTTAAAGTCTTAAAATTATATAAATTTGAGTGTTAAAAAAAATTTGGAAGTCATTATTTTTTTTTTTTTATAAATATATTGAATATCAAGAAAGCAAAAAAAAAAAAATGTTTTTTTCATAGAAAAATTGTTACACTGTCTGATTCATATATAAAATTTACAGTATTTTAACGTAAAAATATCATTTTAAGGATTGAAGTTATTTTTTTTTTTTTTTTTAGTATTGTTCATTATTATAAATTATTAAACGTTTGATATAATAACCATATTAATGTCTGACATCATCAATTTTACAAGTATATAAAATCTCTTTTTTTTTTATTGCTGTAGCGGATGGCAGAAAAAAAGATTACGTTCAACAAAGCAATAATAACCGATTCGAACGAAACTTCTTCGAGCGAGCTAACATAGCAACATGTATATATATTCAAAAAGATGATAAATTTCCAGCATATTTTCTAATATTATTTTTCAAATGGTTCAATTAAGTGACAAATACTAATGCTGATCTGTTCAATTTCTTTCTTTTGTGATAAATTTCTTTATCTTTGATATTACATATGTCTTACTAATCTACTACATATATTTACAAGATCGACATATTTCGCCGATGACACAAGCTATTTTCTATTAAGCTTAGTTCGATTCAGTTAGAAATTTTGACTTAGTTTCTCATTGGCACATCGCAGAGGCAAATTTCTTTAGATAGACTCGGGAAGTTTTTATGATATAATATGTTATAGATGTATAAAGGAAATTAGAAATTAAAAATTACGAAGACTGTAGCAAAATTTTAATTTTCATTGATTTTATAGTTGTTTGGGAAGCCCCCACGATTTTAATTTATCATTCTATTTCTTTCATTCTCTTCCTTCCTCTTTCTCCATTCACACACACATATACTCATACATACACATATACACTCTTTCTCTCTTCCTTTATCATAATTCATCAAATAATTGCTAAATATTAAAATTCAGATAGTTGAACTATACTTTGGAAATTCGCGTAACAGAACCTGACTGAAAGCCGATAATTTGAATCCGAAATTTACATTGATTTAAATCAATTAATCTTTTGATCTTTTTTTACAATTGCATAAAAACTTATTGATATTTTATTTCCAATGATAAACGCTCTTATGTAGAATTCTTCAAGGAATTATTACCATTGTTTCACGATTATCATGTTTAAAATTTGCAAATATAATACAACTTGTTTTTTACAAGTAACTTTGATATAAAAGTCTATCAAACGCCCATAATATATCAGCGTATTTAAAAACCAGAAGATTAAATAGATTCTTCGCGTTAATTCGACAATTATGGACAAAGTCCCAATTGAATTTTTAATACTTTTTTTCAAGATCTGCACGCATCATTATCACAACTTTTTTCCACTTTTCTCCCTATACATAAAAAACAAAGAACAAATCCTATACATTCATTTTTTTTTTACTTATTCTGTGGCAACGCTCCACAATACGTATTTTACTGTAAAAGCAAAGGCCGCGAATCCTATGATGACAACAAGATTGGTGAGCACATTATACAATGGACTTTGATCCCTTTGCAATTGGTCACGTAATAGCGAAGAAACTTCTGAAGCTGTGGATTGATGCCTTGCCTGTTTTTCTAATTCTTTTCTATGTTCTAATTCTGCCTTTATTGTCTATAAAATATGATTTTTTTTTATTAATATATTCATTGGTATCACATTGAAATATTTGTTTTATGACATTAATACTACCTCAACAGTTTCTGGAAAAAGTTCACAAAACAACTTGTCCTTTAAATTATATTCCAAACTCTGTGCAGCAAATTGTTTCTTCTCATAATCTGATGTGTTGATACTACCCATGGTAGGACTATTTTCAATCTATCATAAGAATGATTATTTTCAAATAAAATTTTAAAATAAATTGATTATATATAATTAAGTTTATTAAATATTAATATTATTTTACTATACCATGAAACTAAGTAATCCTGTAAGAATAGTAGACACACTCCATGCTGGATTCCATGTATCAGGATGAAAATCAGAAATAGATAAACATAATCTTGTATTGACTTTAAATCTGCCATTAGGAGTAGTCATATAAATGCTAGGAGGCTGAAATGGAAATTCTACTGGAAATATAAGTTTCCCATGATAAAATCCTCCTTCATAGGGAGTTTTCTCTGGGCCTTTTACTACATAATGCCTATAAAAACATATTTAATATTTATAAATATTTATTAATAATTTACATAAAAAATTTTCTTCATAAATGTTAAATATCATTCCATATCATACATACCATTCTAATATATTAGAAGGAACTGGTTCTGCAACAACATATGGTATAGGGTCTTTTTTAAGACGCAAATAATCTTGTTTCAGTCTTGCTGTTGCACTATTAGTTATCCTATTCATATTATATTAGAAATACTTTGTAAATACTTTGTAATTCTTTATTTATTAATCCTTTGTTATATTTTAAAATGTATTTTTTATACAACAATTTTTTATAAAATCTTTTATATTGATTCTGGGAAAGTGTAATACTTTTGTTTATTTTATACTGAAATACCATATAAAAATTGCGTGTTTCACGTGACAACTTGAAACGTTGATTTTCCAAGTTGTAAAATGTGTTTTACTCTTAGGATATGACGTTTAAAGTATTATCGTTTGTGGTAAATTAATAAAAAGAGAATTTGAATGCGAGTTAAAAGATAGGTTACGTTGCCTTTATTCTTGGTAACGCAGATGCAGATATATACGAAGAATATCGTGTATTGAAGAAGTGTTCTTGACAATCTTTATCTTCCCACTTACAGAATATTCACGAATGACACTAAATTTGACAGCAACTCTTTCATGACAGAAAACATATGACTATGAAATGCACTGAATTATTTCATTTCGTAACAGTGTTGCCAAGTTCTATTATAACGCATTTAATAATTATTGGCGAATTAATTGATAAATCATTTTTTTTTATGATTCAAATTCTTATTTTATTATTCACTCTTTTCTTTCTTATTAATTAAAAAAAGTATGATATTTGTTTGAGAACTTTTAGTCGATGAAAATATTGATAATAATTTGGTCATTAATCAAATATAAAATAGTATGTAATGAAATTAAATAAATAAATTGTAATCTATGTAAAAAATTATAATTAAAATAAGATTAAAATTATAATTAAAAAAATTATGCGCAATTGTGAAAATAAAATAAAAGATATTTATATAAAATATGAATATAACAACTTTCTCTTTTGAATTTATTATTTATTAAAATAATAAATTTTATTAATAATAACTTATATTACTTACATAGTTTTCAGTTTAAAATGTAAACATTTATTAACTTTCAGTTATTAATATTTATAATATTATATTTTAAATATTATATTTTAACTTTATTAATAATACAAATGATTTATAAAATTTATCTAATTTTTTAAAATATTATAAATTTTTATAAACATCAATTAAAAATAATTCTATTAATATTTATTTATAAATACTTTCATAGAATAAATATACTAAATTGTAATTTAAAAAACATCAAAACTTTTGAAAACTTATTACACTTACGTAATAAATAAATATTGCAAAAACAAATTATGTGAAAAACTGTTAATATTCGTTCATACTATTATTCCCTAGATTCTCTAGATATTAATATTTATATATAAAAATATACAGTTATGAATCCAAAAATATTTATCTATAGAAATATTTTTATAAAAATATAATAAAAAATGTTTACCAAATAAAGATAAAAAGAATAAAATTTTTTTATAATTCTGTTACGTAAATTTTTATAATTATATTCATTCAATTCTTTGTAGAATTTGTATTAATTCAATTGTTCTTCAATTCTTTGTAGATTTATCAATTCTGAACATATTCTTTATAATATTTTTGTATATAGATATAGAATATTTTAAACTACCTGTTAATATTTGAATTACGCAATATTATTTATAAAAAATATAGGAATTATTAGTTGATGAATTGAGCTTAAGATTCGTGACAGTCTCCGCCTCTCACGGATTATCACCGGGAAAATCGACACTATATTGATACTTTTAGTACGAAAAAAATTATTTAAACAATATTCATGAACTGTTTAAGAAAATTTATTTGATTTTAAGACTTCTTTAGATAAAAGTATTGTATTATCAAACTCATCAAAAAGATGAGTTCTTCAATTTCAATAAGTAATACTGGTCCTATGACTAGTACTACAGGAATGGAAACAATAGTGGCTGTGGCACTTGGTGCACTAGCTGCTGTTTTCTTTGGTGCATTTTTAGTTTTGCTTGTCATTTGTAAAAGACAAAGATGTTACTATGTAAGTTACTTATTTTTTGTTTTTTATAGAATATAATAAATTTATATAATCTCTATTTTTAATATGATAATAAATTTATATAATTATATTTCAGAATCAAAAAGATTCTCCAGATTTAAGTTCAGATTTATTAGAAGGAGAACATTTTTCTGGTTTAGGTTTAGATGCTTGGGAAAGTGAGGAATGGTTAGCTGGTGCAGAGAGGTATAGAGTGTATGTTAATATCTAGAGATGAAGCACTAAACTAATTATTCAATAGTCAAATTTTGGACAATACAGATGGGTTGATGATGCTACGGGTTTAGCTCCACTGTGCATTGATGTATTGAGATCTTGTCATACTTTGGCTTCTAATCTCACTGCTATTGCAGGAACAGTGAATAGTAATACTATTCCATTGGAAATCGTGGATGTGAGTGTATATTTTTTTAACAAATAATAACATTTAATATTAATAAATTTATATTTTGTAGGTTGCCAGACGTATTCCATCTCGTGTTGATGATGTAGTTAGAAGTTTGTATCCATTATTAGATGCAAGATTATTAGAAGCCAGAGTAGCAGCATTAGTATTAGCTGTTACACATTTGGCATTGGTAACTAAGCACGGAGTCTCCAAAAATCATGCTAGGAAGTTAGCTTTTATTGATCAAGCTTTGAATGATATGGATTCTCATTTATCAATCTTGAGAAATGCTGCATTAGCACAAGAAGTAGCTTGTTCTATTCCAACTTCAGCACCAGTTTAATTTTCAATTTCTATAAGAATTTTCATCAATTTTTCAATTTTCACAATTTGTTTATAATTTTTATATTTCATGGTTTTAGGTTTTATAATAGGTTTACTAAGTATTGCGTGAAATTAAAAAACACGCAGTATTAAAAAATATTCGATCGAGTATTTCTTTTTCTTTTTTTATTATGTCAAGATTCAAAACCTAATAGTGCAACTTCGATTTTTCTAGCAACAATATTTAGTGTATTACATTTCATGTAATTATAATTATTACAAAAATGCATATATACTTTCGTGAAATAATATATTAAAAAATATTGTAAGATATATGAAACATACGGATGATTCACGCAATTAAGCTAAACATAACTCTGAAATAATATCACATTATTATTAAAAATTTTATAATAAAATTAAAATTGAAATATTTTTTTAAAATAATAGTTTAGACATTTAATACATTTTTATAAAGAATAAAAAAAGTTATTGCTTAAATTTAATTTAAAAAATAAATCTAAAATTTTTGAAATACCTCTAATTTTATATATATATTGTTATTGTGTTATGTTTAATTTTTTCTAGTAAGATTCCTATCTATTTTCCATTTTACAATTATAGTTTAATTGCACGAAACATTTCGTATATAAATTTAAACATTTTTTATAATCAAAGGATATCAGAGTTATAATTCTTGTGAATATGTATAAGATATTAGTCTTCCATGATGTTAATACAAGATCAATATATTTATATAAATATATGCGAGATAAAAAATTTTATTTTGATAGAAACTATGTTATTTTATCGATTATATTAAATATTTATAATTATTTGTACACATCCATATATTTTTTTATATCTACTGAAAATCAAATTAATTTATAGTTAAATATGATTTTTTAATAAAGCTAAATTGCAAAAGAAGAATTCGAGTACTTGTTAAGTTTTTATAATACTTCTGTTTTATTTTCGTACTCTGTAGTAATCTATATATATAAATACATACATACACATATATATATATATATATA